CATATAATATTTACATAAATACAATTTTTAAAAATGTATTGAATATAATATTAGTCCAAATTCACAAAATACAATTATCTCAAAGGACTTTATAATTTAAAAACTAAATATACTTTTTTAAAACATATACATGGAGAAAACTGTATGACTGTATATATATATAGACAATGTTATATTTTGTTTGAGATCCCTGGTCTACATGTCTGGACTGTATGTACTTTGTCCACTCAGCCCGAGCGAGTGAGGTGGTTTGTAGTCCCACTAATGGCCCGGCTTTCGACCGATTAGTTGTACATTTTATGTAGAATTTATAAGAAGCCGATAATATAAGATTCATCTGAAGCCACTAACCACTGTAACCTTAAACAGCAGTACAGGAGCTCATACACAAATGACTCATTAAAAGTTAAAGCTACACTTCCATAGGAGATAATTCAGTCCACTGTGGCTCTGTCTCAGATCACTCGATTAAGAATACGATAAAAAAAAGCCATGAATTATTGATCAGTTTCTTTCCCGTTGAGAGTCTCCTTTAATTACAGCAGTGTCAGACGGAGCTATTATTACATAATCCCATTAAATATTTCGAATTTGCACATTTATTTCATGCCCAGCCATTGTAGTTAACACTGTGGTCTAACAGCCAGTTATTTCGTCCCACAGCAAAGTGTGTCTGGAGAATTTTCCGTGGGTGTTTTTTTGTTCCCTCTTGATGCTCCCACTGTTTCACACATTTGAAAGACACACAGACAGACACGGCACTGTGTTCGTTAGACCCACACTCTGGACTCTAACATCTAGGTGTTGATAATTGTTTTCTGTCTGTGTCATGGCTGATGTTTTTTAACCAATCTCTCAAGTTCTCTAGAATGGGCTTCGACCCCATCACTGACCCCGAGTGAAAAGCTGGACTGTCTTACTATATATGCCTCTGTTAAAGTACAAACTGAAGTAGTGATTCCTGATGATGTGATGGAAAAAACAGCCACAAATTTAGCTGTTCCAGGATAAAAGCTTTAATCGAAGAACTAATCGTATCAGGCCAACATGTACAAGGCATGAGGGTAAAAATAATAATAATAAAATATGTTTTATTATAATTTCCTCTCCTATGACGGTGGCTTTAAGGTCACTGTTCTATCAGCGTTCTTGTCTGGCAGTAACCAGACAAGAACATTAAACTCGATTGCCATGAACAACATAATGAAGAGATGTTGAATATGAGAGACTCATGTTATTGCTACCTTTGCCCTTGCAATTAGCATTACATAGCGCTAATATGATAATAAGTTGTCACAATCGAGATGAGAGGAAAAAAAGAAAAAAAAGTGATGGGTCATCTGCCGAAGCTAGTTAATGTCAAAAACATGAATAGTAGTGTCTGAAAAGCTGTCTCTTCTCACGCTGTCATAAAAAAGTTGAAAAATCTCAGGCTGTTGATCAGAAGGTCATAAACTTCCCAGAAGTCACCTTGAATGATGATTGAGAAATAATTCAAGTATTGATTCTTACGGTCTGACAGATTGTCGGAGTCCACGTGGGTCAGACCCAAACACCAGAGTGAAATATTGTTGGTCTTTGTGTGTAGTCTGACCTCAGCATTAGTTGGATTTTCCTCTAGATCTGTGTTCAATTTTCTGACATCCTGTCTCTGTCTGTGGCTCTGAAAAAAACTTCTTATTTCTTCTCATCATCTGCAGCTCATTTGTTCTTCAGCTCCTCCGTTCAACACTCACTTGATCTCAACCAGAATGACTTCCTGTCCCCCCTCCCCCACTGCTCGCTCCAGTGGAGTGCAGCCAAACCATTGATGCTGGATTTGTTGACGAGTGGCCGATGTCCTGGACTGACCACTGTATCGATGCTAAAGTTTAGTAAATGTAATTTCCCTTTAGTTAAAGACTTATTAAACCTCACACTGACACAGTCACCAGGGTCCATCTGTTGTGATCGAGGATTCTTGGACCTGAATGGGTCACAACAACACAAGGTGTTAGAATTTTAATTTAGATTTTTTTTTTTTAACTTTCTGAGCTGCATTTGTTGAAAAATAATGTCACTTTCAAAATGTTTTTGAAACTTTTTCCTTTCACAATTCACATCACACCTTCAATTTCAGACTTTCTTATCCATTTCTTCACTTCTCTGTAAAGACATAAACCCATGGAGCAAGACGTTTGATTTCACAGCTTTCTAAAAAATCATATTTTAACATTTCATGCCCCGTGGCTGTAGCCCGGCATCATATTTGATTTATGTGGTATACATAAATGTCCTGCATGAAATTTTGATGGGATCTTAGTATCTTTCAAAATGTTGAAGCATGATGATCAAATATCCTTTGTCAGTGTTACAACATTTAAAATATTGTATTTGTATATATTTTGTAAATGTCCATTACTGCATTTAGCATATGCTTTAATCCAAAGCAACAGAAGAGGATTAACAATCAAGCATGTGGTTCTGTGGTAATGTAACCCAGGACTCTCTGCTTCCAAGACAGTCATGCTAACCATTACAATATGGAATATGTATATAATAATATAATATGATATAATATAATATTTATTCAAGGTAAAGAACAGGTGTTTTTTTTTTATCTGACTCTGTGGAGTAATATTTAGCAGGATATTTATTATGTCTCCACAGCATTCTAAGTGAAACACAAACACACTTACATTTTATCCAATTTTTTAACCACAAAGGAAACTCCTAGAAGAAGCTTGGTGGTGGTTTGAATTTCCGAAACTGCCCCCCCGATCCTCTCCCCAGCTAGTCTTCATAAAAACCAAGGTTTCTAATGGCAACGAGCACAGTACAGCACAGTACTTTTCATTGTCTGAGCTGAAAAAAAAAAAAAAAAAACCTTTATGGATGAACATTTGAGCGTGTAATTAATGCCTCTGTGCTTCTGATCTTATTAAGAAGGAGTTTGTTTTTATCTCCTTTCTTTCCATACACCGTTAGCGTCGATAAAGAAAAGTTAAATTAAATTCATGTAGTTCATTGTGTAACCCCATGGACGACGTCTTCTGTCGGTGGAAATGGAAAAAGTAATTGCAGTAAATTGTATTTTGTTCTGGCGGAGAAAAAAAAGTCACAGTGTTTAGAGTGTGACACAGATGCTACTTAGGATTCTATTTCAATCAGGAGGCAGAAGGAAACAATAATGGCCGAATCAAAACACCAGACACACGCCACGACTCAGGCAGCGTTCTGTGGCGAAATGAAAGGAGTACATTCACTGCTGCTGCTGCAGAGTTACAGGATTATAAGAAGGCTGGGATTCTGCTCAGATGTGTGACTGACATTTTAACCCCTGGAAAATGTGGTGTGCAGTGAGTGTGTGGCAGCTGCAGACCACACTGTGATATGGCAGTGTGCTGGAATTTTTTATTTTATATTATTTACTTCTGTAATAACACAAGTAATCAGCATCATTGAACTGTAACTCTAACCCAAATTTCCTCTTTTATGATACTTATTTCCCAGCATCCTCGGCAGATAGCATCGCGTCTGTGGGATTACGCGATGGGGAGTTCACTGAGCAGCTTCCGAGCAGAACTTCTGAGCCTTTGAATCTCCATTTTAACATATACCGCTTTCATCATGCACAATGGTGAAACATCAGAGGAAGGGGAAGAGAGAATAGCTGTGCGTCCTGCGGAGCGTCGACTGTCAGTGCAGCACAAACCACTTGGGGGACTGGAAGTGTGAAGCTTTTATTTCACGGCTCAGGGTGAGACATAAAGCCCAGCAAATTACAGCAGCGGGAAAATCCACCTGAGATAACAGGCTTTGATGCTGCGTCTCTCCCCCCAGCCTCAGACAACCATCCATTAGCACTAATCCGAAAGGAATTCAGAGGGGCCGGGCTGAATCGTTCGCCTGCTACGTTGGGGCATTATACCATTTGCGTCAGTGTGTGTATGGCAGCATCAATCAAATTTTACAGGCCTGTAATCACACGCTCGCACATGGACAGACACTCATGCCTGACATGACATCACGTCAAAAAAGTGGGCATGGAACCATTTCGTTCTCAGAACAAATACCTGTCATTTAAACTCAAAGTACAGAGGTAAAAAAACACTTTTATATATGAATATATGTAGTATTATAGTCATTCATATACATACTGTATATAAGACTAATTCTATCCCCTAGCCTGATTCCAAGGATGTAACTGCAGCATGCCACTCAAATATATACATATATATTTTTTTATGTCAAGTACTTTCTAAAAATATGATAAAGTCATTTAGAGCTTCATGGAGCAGCTCCTGATGAGATTCAGCAAGTGCATTTCACTTAACTGCTGCTATCCAACTCTCTTCACTTCTGCTTCATAAAAAAAAGATTTCTTGAAATTGTCCTTTACAAAGAAGGAGGAAAAACCCTTTCTGTTAACATATTCCAACATTATAGAGAAAGCCTGTGTGTTTATGCTTTAAACATTCTGGCTTGATTTGTAAAAAAAACATTCCATGTGTCCTTCAGCAATCTGTCTCCTGAAAAAGTGTCTCCATGGGCTGTTATTTTTGGTAGGCGTTAACACAATTTCCACTTAATTTACTTTCATTAGCAACAGCTTTTGCACTTGAAGGGAAGTGCTGCGCTTCCACACCACAGAGAAAGTAAAAAAGTCAAACTCAGCCGGATGTTTCCAAACTGAAATGTGCATATGTTCAAAGTCACAACAGCCGATTCAACCAATCAAATCACACTGAAAATGCAAAGAAACCCAAAAAACTTTTATGAAATCAGTAATCTCTACACTGTGCGACAGTATTACTCCCTATTCTGGACCCATCTGTCACTCGAACTGCACATGTATACATTGTCCGAGGTGCAAAGTGCAATACACAGGTGACTCTTCTACTGATACTTCTCCATCTGTTAAAGGGAACAGCGACTGTTTTATTAATCGTAGATATTTAAATTGCTTACATCAACATTAGCCAAACCCAGACACAGCGTCTATAGACGACACATAAAAATGTATTTTATTTAGTGTATTAACAAAGTGTTTTTTACATTTTATAGACAGTATTCTTATAACTCTTGTTTCACAAACACTGCCATTATAAAAATAAAAGCACATGTAACGTTGTGTTATGATAACAGTGTCTTTTTTTTTCTCAACAGGTGAGGAATCTGACGGCATATTGTTCACTTTGTTGTTGGTGGTTTTTACAAAATTGTACAAAAAGCAGTGACGTTGATGATGATGACCATTCTGTGTGTCCGTCATGACCAATGGTTTACCCACGGAACGGAAACAAATGGACGATAAACTAAAAAATTTGATTTTGCACTCTGGAAATAAGGGTGAGGAAACATTAAGAGAAAAGAAACACGCTGGTGTTGAGATGGTTCTGTGGGTGAGATGACGACATTGCTCGTGTACATAACGCTTCTGCAAAAGCTTTTGTTTGTGAGTGATTCAGACTTGTGCAATATTATACAAACGTCAGCACACTGGCAACAAATTGATTGACAGCAGAACTTCAAATTATTATTGGCATCTGTCAAAAAACTGTATTTCTTTTTTTTCAAAGGACAGGCAGGACGAGAAAACCTACAATGCAAGTTTAATTCTACAATGTGGTACAAATTTATACCAAAAAACTGACGTAAAGTCTGACGTAAGAATCTCGATTTTCACACTGGGGATTCATGACAACGACAAAAAAAAATGTCCCCTAGATGTCCCTTGTTCTGCTTCAGATTTTCTCTAAGCACGGATCCGGCCTGTGTGATGAGAGATCTGCCATCTGTGCACCTGGACCACTGCCCACCTTAGCTACATAATTTGGTGGTTTCGTATTCCATGGTGTTGGGCTGCTTGGCAGCAAAAGTCTGCAGTGCTGCCTGTATCCTGGCAACATCAGTGGTGGACAGTTTGAGTCGGTGCCGAAGCAGACAGGAGAAAAGGTCCAGAGGCTGGGATCCCGGTGGAGAGAGCCTGTTGACCCGATCCCTAATCTCCAGCAGTTGCAGTAAGGCCGAGTCCTGCGATCCCTGAGTGTACGGGTAGTCCAGTTGCAAAATCAAGTCCTGGATCGCTTCAGGGTCAAAGTGCATACTATAGCCATACACTTGGATGGTATTGATCTTCATATAGCCTAGATTCTTCCCTGGTTCCAGGTACTCCAAGGGTTCATAATATACAGTTCCTGTCCCGTTGGTTGACGTTCCCCTGATCCTGCTCCGCAAATAGAAGTGGACTGTCTCAAAAAACGTTTTCCACTTGTTTCCCAGAGTCAAAGTCCAGTTATAGCAGTCGTAGGGAAGGTCTAATTTAGTCCTCTCCCAGTCTGGGTAGTTGTTCTGATCAATGGGCATGATCCAGCTCTCTGAGTGGCTCCCCCCAAATGGATTGATGTAGACAGACAGCAATGGGTCAAGAGTGGTGTTCTTGGTAAGGCAGATCTGTAGAGACATCCCCAGGAGCATGTGAACATGGTTCGATTTGTACTTGTTACTTTTCAGTGTCAGCAGCATCCTTTTCCTCCATGACGGGTCGAACCAGTTGTTCAGTCTCACATCGTTGCTGACAAAGATCCCGTGGATGCTGATGCGGTTGTCGCGTTTTTGCAGAAGGTAGCGCAGCTCTAAGTCCTGCAGATCTGTTTCGAAGCCAATGTAGTGGTCAGTGGAGTCCGGCACCTCATTGCGACACACGCCCTGACTCAGCATGTATCCCTGGTTGCAGGTGGCGCAGCGGGAGCGGTTTTCATAGGAGCAGGATGCGCAGGAGGTGCCCTCACCCACAGTGCAGGGGATGACTCCCTGGCAGGGTGGGTGCTCGTAAGGACAGGAGCAACTGCGTGTCTCCTCAAGGTAGGAGCCAACATGGTTGTTCTCACTGCAGTACATGATGGATAGGATGTAGTTCAGCCAGTAGCTGAAAGGTCTGCAACAGAGACAGGAGGGAAATACAAATGTGATAGAAAATTTTACTTTAGAAGTCACTTTTCTTTAACAACAAATGCACAGATTTGACAGACACTGAGATCAAATTTTCAAGGGTCAACAGGTAGTTCAGATTGGTTCTAGGAATATCAGTAAAAACCACATAAAAATAATATTTAAAAAATGCAACAATGGTGTTATGTCATTCAAAGTATCATTGTATCATGTATCATTCCGACTACAGTCCTGAACTCAGGGGACGGTGAAAATAATCCCATTGTCTGTTGTCATTTTTTTTTTTTTTTTTGCAAGAACGATTGGCCATTGTGTCACAAAGTACACAGCACTGCAAAGTGAAATGATAAGTGGGGTTCATTCACAGAATGCTCTATGCACAAAGAGCGATGATGATAAATGGGTCACAGAGTTTCACAGGAGAACGGATCGGAAGCTCAGTCCGTTTGGTCTTCGTTAGCACGGACAAAAAGTTCAGAAACTTGAGGATATATGAGCTGAAAATAACGGTTAGAAACTAAGTATAACTGGTGAGGAAGACAGATTTGTGCACAATATTTATATTTCTTTGTTTAATTCTTTTTGTTGAATTTTTGTTTCTTATCCAGGAGATTTCTTCAAAATCCAACATAAATAGAAAATTGTTTGATGCAGTAAATTTGCCTTTGTTTTTGACAGTACAACTTTTCATGCAGTCACTATGTCATTTGAATGTATAAACAAAATCACCAATCGCTTTTGTATTATTATTATTTTTCAACACCAACGCCAAAGCAGATCAATATTCCTGACATTCTTTCTCGTTGAATCATCGGCAAATGGATCTCCTGACAGGAATATAAGTTCTTTAATCAGTCTTTCATTGTTTTCTTCTTTCTTTCATATCTGTCACATTTCTAAAATCAATTTCTAGTTTTTGGCAGAAACTGAAGTTTTGGTGTTATGGCTGTGGGCCTGTGCTAAATTAATGTAAGACAAAACAATGAAGGGTAGAAAAAATAGTCAGGCAAATAGTTGTTTGACTAAACAAAAGCCTGACGTGTATGAAAAAAAAAAACATTTCTCAAATGTACTGACGAAAATTAGACCAACATTATTAAAACTGAAAGCCAAGTTTCTACTCCTCTCCAAGGCTTTTCAAAATAGGTTGAGAGCCAAATTTCTGATGTTTTTATCAGCCTTTCAAAATAAGAGCGTGCTGCACCAAACTCCTCTGGAGGCTCGTCTACAGTTTTTACACAAGAAGAAAGGAAAAAAGTGTAAAGCCCAAAACATTGCAACTTTCTTTGCAGCCTTTGTTGCACACATTCTTCCATATCTTTCATATGGTCTGATGCATTGATGAATTTTAAATGCAAGGCTTTGCACAATCGGGATATATATATATATATACTGTATATATATATATATATAATCTCAGAACTGCAGATAGTTTTAAAAACAACCAATACTGCTGTTCCCAAAATGTGGGGTGTGAAACATTTAAATTTGAATATTTTTGTAAAAATCCAATAGGAAAATTACACTTATTTTTAATTAGATAATCAGATTTATAGAAAACAATATTTAGTAAATCAGTTTTGGAGAAACAGCTGTGATTGTATCGACATGCGATCCCTTTACAGTAGTGCTACCTACAATATAGGGCACGGCAGTAAAGCCTGGGAACCAACACAAAGTGGACACCAAATTAGCATCAGGCACACGGGAGAACGGGACACGTTCCTAAGTCACCAAGTATTTATTGCTGGCTTAGCCTGGGCCAGGATTCAAAGCGACATTTCTTTAATTACTGTAAAAAACAGATCTCACACATCTGATGATGTAAACCTTGTTTGAAGCCACTTGGCCATGGGAACACATCCATTGAGACTGCTGGCATTTGGGTTTTTGTGCTGACGTTGATGCCGAGGGGCGGGGGCTGTGGGGTGGGAGGTGGGCTTGGAAGTCTGCAGCTCCTGAGTCAGCAGAGTGTCGGCAACTTCATCTCACCCTCTGAACCTCAGCAGCCTCGCTCCATAACTTTACATGCTCTGCTAATATCTGGCTGAATCGCTGGTGGACCTTAAAAGTCTCAGGTAGAAAACACACTGTTCTCAATTGGTGGTAAAATAAAGGAAAAAAAGAGGAAGAGAGAGAGAGAGAGAGAGAGATGCTAAGGGTCTAGCAGCAAATGATAACACCAATATGTTGATTAGCTTAACCCAGTGGTGAAGGGATGACACAAATAAAATTAGACCACATTATTATGTAATTAATATTATTGTCATTATAGGCTGCTGACCTTTTATGTATTACTAACTATATTACTTATAATATATGTATACTTATATTGCCTATATACATCTTTTTTTATATTCTGACTGGACAGATAAAATATATAAAATAAATATACAAATTAATGCTATAACATACTTATTATATGTTAGTATATATTTATTATATATTCAAATATATTAGATAAATATTAGATGAGGATTCAAGAACTTTGAAGGACGCTGTGCCTACACTCTTCAACATGGATGTGATTTTTTTTTCTTATGTCTAAATCTAGGGCAGATTTTCTTCATTTAAATTCTCAGCTCTGAAGCCAAGTGTAGCGAATGGTGTTTTCTCACATCTTCAAGTTTAAAGTAAAAAAAAGTTGATGTAACGTGTTAACAGTTGCTGCGAAAGTCATCAGGCAGTTGTTGGTATCTCATCTCCAGACGGGGGCTGAGCACAGCGAGGGAAAGGAAGCCGCCCGCCATCATGAAGCGCTGCGTGTCAGCAGGACACGTAAACTGTCACGGAGACTCTGTGTGAAGTACACAGCAGAGAGAAGCTGGGCGTTCACGCTGCAATCTGTTCGCGGTCTGTCAGCTCATCTCACAAAAATCAATGCAGCTGAACAATAACGTTCTCCCTTTTTCTCAGGGATTCAATTTTCACTCGTGGGGAAAAAACTCCACTTTGTTCCTACTGTTGAAGTACTGCATTTCTCCATTAACAGGGTGATTTCCATAACATCAGTGTTGCTCTGTCACTGCCACTTGGACACCTTTTTCTACTCTGCTGCTCAAACCCAAAATAATTCTTGATAACGAAAAACAAAATGTTTATAGTATGTTGAGTTTTTTTTCTGTTGACTTATAATGTTTAATAAATGAATACAGACGTTTCTTCTTTCTTTTATGTAATAACAAAAATACTCCCAAAAGTGGGTCATTTCATGATTTAAAGCAGTTCTCCCGGAAGAACAGAGTTTTTTATTGCGATGAAAAGTAGAAGAAAGACACAGAAAGAATGGAGTTTGGTTTCAGAGACGATTCTTTGAACCGTGACAGATTCCTCAGATCTTAGGAGAGCAGCAGGTTAGATCACAGCAGGATCTGTTGGGGATCTGGCGTATCTAGTTTAGGTGTTGACTTTTATCACTCTTACACTGTCTGATTACTCTGCAGTCACTAAATTTGGCCCAGTTTAGTTAAAGTTTAGAGAAACATTAAATATTAGATGTTGTGTCTGCAGTTCTAGATGTTTCCATGGGCCGGGTTTTGCACTAAATGTAATACATGTATAAAATATATTTAGTTTATATGAGTGAATATATATTTAACATTTAAACAGACAAGAAACTCCACATATTTCCCATTTAAATGTTAATTTTTTATTCGAGTTATGTTTATTTACTCTCTTGTATAATACAACATGTACTCCTTTTCAGAGAGGGAAGAGTATATGGAGTGAAATATTTAATATTCCAACAGCTTTTGTCCCCGCAGAAACCAAAGGGCATTGTGGGAAACTGGCTAAAACTCCTTGAAGCAGATTACATCGGTCGCCATCATGACCATTACTGTCACCTTCCATCACACTGCAGTGTACTAAAGCTGCTCCGAGGCGCCATTTTAGAAATAACAGGTCATTGCTTCCCGCTTTTTGCTTCCCTTCTTTTGTCAACTTGAAGTGAGAGCTTTTGGACCTCGACTGGCTGCACAGATCAAGATCAAGTCACTGCTGTTTGCCTACAGACTGACTTCTGGGTCTACTTGAACTGATTGCATCCGCTTCTGCTCCTTCCCGGCCCACATCTCTCCCAGGAAAGTCATCTGGCTTTGCCATCTCTGCCCATGGGGCCTTCACACTCCAGACTGGTTCTCTCAGTGGTACTGTGGTGAGAGGAACAACCACGTGGTCTCAGAGTTGACTTCATCCTCTTGAAAATTCACTTCTTTCTTTTTGAGTTAGGTTAAAAAGATCGATGTTTGTTTTTTATTTTTATAGGTCTAAAAATATGATCTAATGGTCAGTAACACAGCCCAACCCAAAGATTTAGTAAAAAAACGTTGAAAAAGCTGTTGGAGAAGCCGGAGAGATGTCTGGTGTTTTACTGTAGATTTTTTAAAAATTGGACACCTTTTGTAATCCTAACTTCTACCTTTTCATTGGGCGTTCACAACAAACCCGATGTTGACAAAATTGACCTATAGCTCGATATACACAATCAATGTAAATGGATTTAATAACAGAAGGCGCGGATGGCGCTCCGGATGCGAAATAAGCGAATGATTGTCTGAGGTGACCGGAATAATTATGCAAAATCATTTTGTGACATCCGATCAGAGAGGAGAGTTTATCCTGGCATCACCTCCACAAAGTTAAGCAGAGATGTTTATGAACAATTGCGAAATAAAATTATCATCGCTTTTTGTGGGCACCGACACACTGCTACGTTTTCTTGGGACTGGGATAAAGAAGAGGCATGGGCCAAAGTCAGCCAGGGGGTGGGGCTCTCTAGTAAGTTGTGAGACTATCTGCGGTTTGTATTACTACATTATTGGCTGTGTTTAGCTTCATTCTTGACAAGAGGAATGAAGGACCAAAAATGATCAAGTGGTGTGATACAGGCATTTCAAGCATCTATCGCTTCTGGTATAAAATGCCCCTTTAGAACTTTTTTGACGTACTGTTTGTTATTTACTGCTTTGTTCCTCATCACCTTTTTCTCTAAGAAACAAATGGAGCAGCTAGGACTTTCAGTCCTACTGTACTGAAGCTTCAGTGTTGTCCATCTGTTTAAGGACTGTTGATACATTTGAATGCAGCTCATTGTATTCATCTCTCTCGCTCTCCCTCTCCCACATCTTCCCTGTGTCTCTCGACCACTGCCTCCTCCACTTGCTTATCCCTGACAATAAATTCACAGTTCCTATCTTTGCTTTTCTATGATAAATCAGACACCACACCTATTTATATCTCTGTTTGCTTCGAGCTTCACGTTTTGTGCCCTTGAAAATAGGACTCCTAAATAAGGTGTTAATTGCTATATATTCATCACACACAAAAAATAATTGGCTTAAAAAATTAAGGTTATTTCAACCATGGTGGTCGTGCTATGTCTGGTCTGTGGAATCCCCACCCCCAATCATCTTGTCAGCTCCCCCGGGAATGACTCCAGGTTAAATTCACACATCACACTGGGTGCTGGGACGATGATGCTGAGGCGGCGGTTCTACCACACTCCAGTCCCTGGAACAGTGTGTTACACCCATTCTATTTAAATAAATCACCACTTCCTGTCTTCTGGAGGTCATCGGGCTCACTGCTGATGTATGGTAGCCACACATCATGTGCGACTGCACACACCTGTCTCATTAGCATTAGCATCATGGGCATGTTCTGCGCTGCAAATTAGTTCTAAAACAAGTTGCAGAGTTGAGCACATTTCCTAGGAGCTTTTTAAGCCATCTCATTTTTTTTTTAATACTCAAAATTGCCTCTTCCATATCTCACCTGCCTCCGCCCGCATCACTAGGCCGGCCCGACTAGCGATTTATTCTCAAATTAATTATTTTAATCGCCAAGCAGCCCTGCTTAATAACACATACAGCACAAAACCCACCACTCCACAATCGGCCATTTCCACTTTAGAAAAATCTATAGAAATGTCTCCAGACCCTGGGAACCAGTGTGACATTGAGGTTAACAACACAATTTGTACAGCTAAAGATGATTTTGTACCATTTCATTGAGCAGGGATGATACTTTCTCACTGGGTGAATGGAATGGAAAAGTGATGAGTGAGCAGGTGTTGGGGGGGTACAGATATAGATGAATATGAATATAAATATTTCTCACCTAAGTCCCTGAAATAAACTGGCTGTATCAGCTGCACATGTACAATTACATTCCATTCCATAAACCTGGAGAGTGATTACTTCTATTCGCATGGAAAAAAAAAAAAAGAGCTGACTTGCCTAGAAGGTATAGGCGTTAGGTAAAAAGTCCTAAATATAGCATATACATCTAAAAACACTGCAAACTTTAATTTCACAGGTGGATAACTTTGATTTCCTGGATGTGAAGGAGACACAGACCGGGACTCGAGCCAAGTCATCAAGTCTGACATATTACTCATTCGCCCGACCCTCGGTGGAATATCAAAGTACTTATACATTGTTTGCGCAATTATTAGCATAATGAATAGTTTGGGAATGCCACACACACACACATTTTCACAATGGTGTCATCAGAAAAGGTCAAAGAAATTGTACCTCTCCCGCAGGGTGATAATTTTGGGCTGGGTTCGACACTTTTTGCTGAGGTTGAAGAGTTTGCCGATGATGCGTTTTGCTTTGCTCAGGAGCTGCTGAGTGTTTAGCTCTAGCTGTTTGTAGCGTTGGTGGACAGTGGGCTCCGTGGTCCAGAAGTACTGGATGGCCGACGTGTTCAGGGCGTAGAAAGTGGGAAGCTTTCGAACGAAATTCTGGAACTCATCTGGGGGACAAATGTAAAAAGATGACATCATGATGTTCTGATACGAACTAATTCAAATCCTGTCATAAAAAAAAAACACAAAAACAAAAACACATTTTCACTTCAGTGTGCGGAATAACGTAAATAAACGTTTTGTTAAAGTGTTGAGATGTTTTAGGAGGCAAAGGTTTCCATATGGTCCAGTGTGTATTTAGCTGCGTCCTTTATAACACTAACCTTTTTCATAGAATGCAAATTTAGCAGCAGTTCCCGCTTTTGGGCAGTAAAGCACCATCAAATCCATGTTCAGTGCAATTTGGTACTACATTCTGCTTAAGAGTCAATATACAATATTTTGATTAGTTTATGTAAATAAACTGATTATTTACCTAAGGTGCCTGCGGGGTATGTTCTAAGAATAAAACTAGTCAACTGTAACTGCTTTATCAATCTGTAACACTTGATATGATCTTCAAATGGGTGAAATGATGATGGTTAGAAGAGTGTCTACAATTGTATGTCTTATTTCATTGTTCGGGGAGTCTGTATCAGGCAAGTAGCTCTTCATATTACCAAGTGTCCTTGAAGTAGTTCTCAGTTTCAAAAAGGTTGGTCTTAGTGCTTTTGTTGTTAAATACAGTTTGTATTGAGACGAGAGAAGAGGTGAAACTTCAAGAAACCAAGATAATCCACTCCTCCACTTAACTGCTTCAGATAAATATATTGCTAAATCCAAACCTTTAGGATTTGTGTCTGTTACCCCTAGGGGTGAATGGGCAAAACACATTCATTTGGGGCCAAGAAGAAGACATTTTATCTTGGTTAGAATGACCTTTCCCCAGGTTGATTCCTGTCAGCTGTTGTTAATATGAGTGATGTGCTGCAGGTGTGTGTGTGCTGACAAGAGAGGTGTGGTTTCAGATGGAAGCTTCTGATTGGTCCTTTTCATGAAGCTGTAGTTTAAGAGGCCAGGTTTCCTGAGCTGTGAGGGGATTTGTTTGCACCAAGCTGACTACCATTGGCAGTTGGCTGTGGTTTTGATTTGTTTGCACCAAGCTGACTACCATGTTGGCTGTGGTTTCGCTGTCTAAACAGAAAGTTTGTGACTTTCTTTTTGGTTATTTCTTGGTATTTTGGTATCGATAGACTTTCTCTTTCTTGCTGTGTCCATTTGTCTCCTTAGGTCTGGTTTCACAAGTAGTCACATTTGAGCAGAGGAGATTGCTTCAAGCTGTCTGTTTGTTTCAGGAGAGGAACTTTTTCTTTAATAAAAGCCCAACTACACTGGCTGTTGCTCACAGCACACAATAACAGACTAGCCAAATGATTAAGGTCAGAAAATTGAAGTCCTCAACCTTCTTATTAGTGTGTCTTTCTCAGATTAAATCAAATCAAAAATAAAATTTACTCTCTGAAGGCAGCAAGGGCTAGAGTGTTTCACACAGAGCGGAAAGTGTCAGCTTTCATTGTCTTTCTTCTTATGATGCCTAACGCTGTTTCCATGGTCGAAAACTGCAGCTTTGTCTGCGAGGAAGCGCAGTGAATATATGTGTCACTTCCTCAGAGCTGCGGCGCTCCGCTGCATAGACAATAAGCTGTGAGCAGATTACTTTTCCAGTGCATTCAATAACGATGTCATCATCATCCTAATCAAGATTAGTTGAACGAAATATCAACGCCTGTGCAGCCCTGATTAAAAAACGGCCACGCCAACGCTTGCAATTAGGGAATGTTAGCCTGATAAAGAGTAACTGATTAAAAAAACAATTAACACCAAGTGGCTACCCAGGTGATTATTCTGGTTGTGTTACATATTCCTGGGAAATTATTAAGTTTGTTAAAAATCTATTAAAGAGTATTTGGGAGGGTTTTCCATAATCTTCATTTACAATGGGAGACCTTCAACAGAGGAGGCTCGGGGCTGTGTCAATGTTTGTCCATTCACTCTGGGGATAATTAAAGTAAAATGCATTTTCACTTGTTTGTTTTTAAAGACTGCAAAACAAGTCTGATGAAGTTTTTTTTTTTTTTTGTTGCTCTTTATGGCAAATCCATAATAAAACAGCAGTGTGTAGAGATGCACCGGCGACGTTAACTGGTATCAGTAAACTTTGATTTTTGTTCAGTCGGCTGTGTTAACGTTGAAGGTTTAAGGTTTTGTTTAACCATACTGAAATTGACTGAAGGAATTTCTATATTTGGTGACTGCACTGCAGCATAAATGTATGAATAAGTTTAAACACAAAATCCTTAAAATATAACTGTAGCTGTGACATGTAAATACTTTTTAATAAAAATCACAATATGAGAGATTAAAAAACAACAACTTCCAGATGATTACAGGCTTATACAGTATATGTAAGATGCCACTATCCATTACCCAAAAATATTTAAATTAAAAACAATGTATGTATGTTGCAATGTCCTTGCATTAAACCTGAAGTTCTTGTTTTATCATTGATACAACAACAACACAGAACACCCTCTAATTACCCCCTGTGGTACTTTCTCTTTTGTTTTTGTTCAATCACCGGTAATGACCTTTCCTAAAAATAACAACATCACGATGACTCATCAGGTAAAGTACTTGTTTTCACAGTACTTGTTTAATGGCTTTTAAAACCTGAAATAACAACAAATATAAACAAGTGCTGTCAATGGACCTAAACAATTAGTTGTGATTAACCCTATGATTGTCCGTAGATTCGTAGAGTCAGGATTCCTTTAAAATAAATTCCACATTTTTAATCAGCCTTTAATGTAGCTTTAAAAATATCTTTTCAATGCTTTAAACCTGGTTAGATAGAAATGTTGCTGATATTCTGGCTGTTTCGATTTAAAAACAAAATTGCCAATTAGCATGCAAAAAACCCATTCCCTTTGTTATTGAGTTTTTTATTTCATCATTATTCTATGGTCAGTTCATTGTTCAAGTCAGTCTGAAGCTAAATTTGCCATTAAAAGAACAATTGTCTTTATCTAACCCATGAACTACTTGGTAAGCCCTGGTTTGAAATCAGGTGTCAGTGTCAATAATAGTGAGTAAGACATTTAGGAAACTCATTTATATCACATTAACATTGCTGAAGCTAAATATGACACATGACCCAGCTGTGACCAATAGGATTGTTCTCAATGTTTAAGGAAGCCGATTTGTATGTGTGAACACAGCTACTGAAAAAGCAGCTAAGATGAAAATGTAACTGCTTCCAAAATGAGTAATGACACTGACCCAGCTACAGAATAGGTTTTCCTAATTGAAACATTATACACACAAAATAAAGCAATCATGTTTATTGTCGTCTGTCGGCCAAAACCTCATTTAACAATCAGAGTCATGATTACTAATCTCCCTGCTACCTGTGTAAAAGAGTTTTTCCCTCTATTAAATCACACACACAAGTAGCACCCCCCGTCCCACTTTCCCCACTCCAACTCCTCCATCCACCACTGCCTTTATTTAATACAGCACTGCAGTTGTGCTTCATCAGGACACCTTGCTGCTTTAAGTTATTGCCTGCTGTGTGCTAATCAAGTTGCCCTTAGCGTAGTGCAGGAACATGGAGCTGTTGTAATAACAGTCTCCTTTAGCAAGGTGCACAGTGGTGGAGCCGCAAAGGAAGCTGAGAGATTTGGTCGCAATGACGGCTTAATCGAAATGGTGGAGTTTGAAAATGTACAACTACTTTGAAGTACAGCAATAGCTTGTGGTCAGTGATTAAAAAAATACAACAACATCTTAAATGGTGGACCCGATAGCATGATTGCTAAACGTTTGGAGCTACAGCCAAGGGAAACTTTTAAATTGCAGCCTGCAGACTAGTGATACTGAGTATCGATTCCGTGGTATTGATATACCAATACTCACACAAGTATTGATATATTGATACTTACACAAGTATTAGAAATCGATACTCACATGGAGTATAGATTGAGTATTGATTACACGCATTATATCACACAGTTACATTTGAGTGCCCCCTAACATGTTGGATTATAAATCGTCATTTTTGATCGACTAGATGAAGTCAATGCAGACGTTTATGGTTGGTTTAAACTGATGGGCTCGACAACAGCGGCTGCCTGCAGAAGTGAAGTCTGCTCTCCTCCGGCAAGTGTCACGGTGAAGTGACAGATGTGGAGCTTTAAGACTCAGTTTAAGCATTTCTACAACGTCAGCTCTGGTGTTTACTATCTCTGGAAGCTTTCAGGACACTGTGGGGAAAATGCTTCCAATCTATACCAAGGCTGCTTTATGGCAGTGCTGGATTTAATGCACAAATATTCTCTGGAGTGCGTTTGCAGACATTTATTAAAGTGTGTGAAGAAATACTGTAGATTTACTCTGTTATTTGTGAAGACTGTGTGAAAGGTTTAAAAGTTCTGTCTGCTTGTTTTTTTACTGAAGAAACTTTTTGGAAAATTTGTGCAATTTCAGTTAAAAAGGGATGAGATGATTGCTCCCTTGTTTTTGTTAAATTTTGTTTGGGAAATTGCTCCTGTGTGTACTGATATCTTCCCATTAGGCCAATCAGGGGGTAATTTTGGTTTCTTTTCATTGCCTTTCTGTCCCTGATTTTCTTTGTGGCAGCTTTTTTTTCAAATGCTGTCAGTCAGCCATTCACAGCCATTGAATAGAAGAAACAAACACCGACCTGACTCTTCAAAGTCTTTGTTGGCGACGTTCCAGGAATCTCTGATTTGCAGTAAACTGGTCTCCATAGCTTTCAGATCCACCTCAGGGCAATTACACTGCGGGAAGTCGGTGGCGCACTGGCACCAGCAATCATTGTTGTGACACACAAACTGACCCTCTTCATTACAGCCGATGTAGCTGAGAGCTGCCTGCACGAACCTGGCCCTCAGATACTCTGGCAGCACGGCCTGCAGGCCTGAGGCAAGGACAGAAACATGGCATCACCACATGAGTGTATAAACAGGAAGCTGTTACTCCAGCTTCAGCGCTATTCTTTTTTTTATTCTTTTGTCACACTTCACATATGGTTGGCGTCACATGCAATATACTAGGTTTTTTTTGCATTTTATTTTTACACACAGTTCTGTTGCTGTTGTTAAAAATCATTACACTCACTGATCTACTCTAGAAGCATGCTAGGCAAAAAAAGGAGAAAAAAAAGCAGAAGAGTGATTGAAACTAAATTCATTCTGACACTCCGGTGTTGCAGTTATATGCTTGCCAGAGAACAGACACTGTGACAATTCCATCAGAAATTGGGGGAGTTCAATTATGGATGGCCAACCTTGCAAATGAATCTTGTTTTCAGGGCTCTGAACCAAAACGGAGCTGACAGAGTCGAGGTTGTCATAGTTACTGCATCCGAGAGGACCCGTCCTTGTTTCGGTCACCTTAAGGGAGAAAAACAGAGCCACATAACAATAATCCATGGCGTGTACGGAAAGCCAATAATACTGTTAAACACACAGAGAAAGAAATAAATGAAAACAGGAGAGAGGGGAAAAAAGAGTGAATGTCAGGCAGGATGAGATTAACGGCACTCTTCCTGTTTGCAGTGTGATCTCATAAGAAACAAAACATATTAGGGGTTGTTTAGACTTCTGTGTTGTGCAAATCACATTTAGGATAATGACTGCGAGCTGGAGGTTCTGAAAATTGAGTTGTTGATAAGGATCCCTGGAGGAACAGCTTAATGAGTAAGTTGTGGGTGTTGTATGTCAAAAGAAATGTGTTTATCCATTACAGCGCTGGTGGACACACAGATACATGTAGAAATCCATCGTGATGCCACTGAACGCACGTCCTATTCAATTAGTGACGCACACCTGATACACACACACACACACCTGAGGACCTGCGCAATAACAAACATTCTACATAAGCTGTGAAAATAGTTTAGAGGCAGAATGAGCTGAATGGCATAAGAGAATTGACTAAACTAAAATGCTACAGCGGAGCTTATATGAGTATGAAAATGTAATTAATGTAATTAATTTTAATGTAATTAAAATACTTTTGTTTATTTTGAATGTGCAGATTGAATATAAACAAGAGGGACTGTTGGACAATATAACTCATGGACACACAGACTGTGTAGACTGTGAGTATTTGCAGACTACAGAGCTACAAAGTTTTTCCTTGTGGATTCGGTTTATTTATTTTTTACTTAGGAAAAAAAGACATGTAAACGTATGAACCTCAGCTCAGGGTACAGTAGGATTGTTCCAAAAATATATATTTTTTCCAAACTCCTTACAGAGAACTTAATATTCCTGAGTCTGAGCATTCAGTTAAGTTATAGTTATATACAGGAACTTCAGCTCCTATATATATATATATATGTATATATATATATATATATGTATATATATATATATATATAGGTATTTTTTTCTTGTATTGCAGTATTGCCCTAATGTTTAAAATGCCACACATTGAGCAGGAGTTTCTGCCTTTGGAATGTTTAATTTTAATGAAAAAAAAAAAACATGATTTCAAATTAATAGACATTTTGGAAAGAATGAGGGTTTGTAAAACTGTTGACTTTTGTTGACCCAAAACTACAAGACGAAGTATTCCTAAAACTAGTCGTCTTGACAAAAGACAAAGACAAAAGCACTGCAGCCTCCAGGCGAGTTGCACCCTGCAGGGACCGGCTCAGATCTCAGCCTGGACAGGAAAAAAACCAAAGAAGGACAGGGGACAAGGAGGGTCCTCCTACACACACACAACAGTCCAGTCCAAACAAAATAGGAGTATTTATATTCACCTCACCTAGGGTGAACACACAAAAACACAACGGCCAGTGGGGGACGTGTTTTGATTGGTAGGATTTCTTCAATGAGAACCAATCAATCCACCATTATCCTCCAACTCTTCCAGCAGGGTTTTTTTTTTTTTTTTGTGGCTCCAGGGCAATTTGTTGATGGAGATGCAGTGCAGAGACGGTTCCACTACAAAAGCTCCCAGAGGGAAGGTGATGTGAACGAGGGCTTCAGTTTCCACGAGAAAATAATTGACACTCAAAGTCGGCAACTGAGCGTTGCAGTATCACAGCGCGTGGAGAAGATATATTGGGTTAGTGGGAGTTTCTCTGCTCTCAGGAGAGAACCCTTGTACAAATGTAGGAAATGGTTCACTGACGTGAAGTGAGGCACCAAACAAATTGGCAGAAGTTGTCAGAGTGACTGAGATAGGGGGTCATTTACCAAACTGCCCACAGAGGATACGCCCTCCTTCATTTTTCCGCGTGCCACATTTGGAATTGCACATGTTTTTGTGAGTCAGACAGTCTGTCACAGAACAGCTTTGTGGGCATAATTAGCAGTTGCTCATGACGGATGGATGTGACGAGTATGATTCATGAATGGCACTGGGCACAGATTCCGCGATCAAGAGCTTCACCATCAGTCGCCACGTTTGGAGATCTAATTATTATTGTACTCTAAATATGTGTGAGTCGCAGGACAGCATGTGTTGAATTTGTGTTTCCAACAGTTATTTATATTTAGGTTACAGACCAAAAATTGGTCTGTAAAAAACATTTTTCCTATATTTGTGCCATTCTTCATAATAAAATAGTTAAAAGTGATTATTCCTGATTAATGACCTTCAGGGCAGAGTGGCCCAGATATGGTTAAACAGGCTTGCAGGTAAACACAATCATCTTAAAGCCGCCGAGGCCTTGGTCAGGCATTGTGTGCGTTTTGGACAGAAAAATGTCGTCAAACGAGCCGTTAGCCTCAAGGATGCAATTAATTTGCTACATGGGGCAAACACAGGCTTCAGTGGTTCTGTGCTCAAGGGTCTAAGTGGGCCGGCACGGGGAACATGAGGCTGTAAAACCATTACGGAGGAATCTTTAACCAACCATGGTTTTTCTTTTTCTCAGAACAAACCCACATTAGAGAAAAGTTGGTGAATGCGGCTAGTACAGAGTAAGTCATTAGGGGGTGCTTTTTCTTTTTTATGTCAATTCGCAAACAAGTTGGTTATCAGCAAATTAAAGGTCCTTCCTCTGCTATAAATTGTGAATGTGTGCATAACATGAATGAACCAATCAAACTCCACATTTCAGCAATACAGATACTTGAAGAATGTAGATCTAAATCTACCAACACCTATATATTTTATGAATGCAATCCCCAACAGTTGGATTTTATCAATACAAAAAAATAAAGTATGAGAAGCTGCGATCCACTGAGGCGAGAAGCCATCGTCATTAAGAAGAGCAATATGGTGTTTATAAGAGACGGCAAAAAATTGTATTTTATTATTAACAGATGTGCAGAGTTAATTGATCAGCGGCTGATTGGCAGATTGTTCCAGTCAGATGGCGGTTTGTGTTTTAATGCTAATTTGCCAACTTTTTTTTTTTTTTCAATAAATTGGGAACAAAACTTTGGCAAAGTGCATTAAGTCTGGCAGTGTTTCATTCTGGTATTATTCACCTCAATCTAATGAACTGGTTTCGATTCAATTCAATATAGGGCACGAGGGAGACCTCAGAAAACTGGAGGGAAGAGAAGAGAAGAATTTAATTTTGAAATGACCATGAATCCTGAACACAAAAATGATCCTCAGATCCTAAAGTTTGCGGTGGTACCTGAACACACCTCGTGTGACAGCTGCAACTTCGGCATGAAAATTTAGTAATATATCTAGCCCTGGCGGTTTGTGCCTGTTATCCAGCTGCTCTGTTAGCATATAGCTGGCTAGCGCTCATTGTTAATATTTTTCTTATGCTAAATAAATTTTAAAAAAGTAAAATAAAAGTATGAAGATACAATCTAAAAGTCAAAGTTTCTTTATATATTTTGTAGGATTAAAGCTAATGCTAATGTTTGGCCCTCCGGCACCTTCTTTCAATATTTTTTTATTTTCACATCTGTGGTACTTTGATGTGGTCTATGGTTTTGGACCATAGTAATATAAGTGTATGTTCCACTTGGCAGAAAACTGAACATTAAATTGACCTTTGACTCTTACAAGGAGGAAGTCAAGTGAAGAGATTCGTATACTGCAAACATGAGTTTAGATACTGTGGATGCGCAGTGAAAAAAAAAAGATGATGTGTGTTTGCTATTGGAGCGTGTCATTCTGGTTCTTTTCATTCTGAAATACAGCTGTTCACCTGGGTTTCTACGGACCTAAATTAATTTGTTTTCTTTCTGTATATGTAGGATTTCTCTGGTCATGCCTTTCTATACCAGGGCTCTGTTCTGGTTTCACTCTGAGGTTTTTCACACTGACTACCTTTACTGAAAAAACATGCAGTTGATAAAAAGAAGAAAACGACTCTCTGCTGCTTTGTTCAGTCAGAATCAGTGGAAGAAAAATCCCATTTGACACAAAGAGTCAAACCCCCCCACATTCCTTGTTTTTCTCCCCATTTGCTTCGCTCACATTTGATATTACTTTAGGCAGGAAATAAAAGAATATTCTGTGCACTAAAGGTCCTTGAGTTTGGATGATAAAAAATACAAGTCCAGGTGAGGGAGGTTTGTAAATTGTCTTGACACATGTTCCAGAGCAGCAGAGAAAAACAGACGTCATATAAAGTGTGATATAAATGTGCCAAAACCCGAAAACAACCTCTAACAACGGCAAACTTCACAGACTGTAGAATACACGATTGTGTGTAATGTCTCTCACAGCACCTGTCACCTAATTTGATTTGTTTGTGAAAATATGAAATAAAGAGACAACCTTATTTCCAATTAAATATGTTCTCGTTGAGTTCTGTGCTAGAGAATAAGGACGTTTTTTTGTAGACTTTCAGTGAGTCGATCCACCCGTCGGCTCAGCAGCAGCCTAATGTGGGTGCTTCTATTACCATTACGACAATCTGTTAAAAGTTACAGCTCATTCTCTGCTGGCTTGACTCCAGTACGCACTCAGTGTGTACTATGAGTTTAAACAAAAGTATTACTGTAGGTTGGCTTTAAGCAATAACAAAAAGTAAAAAATAAAAAGTCAGCAGGTTTTAATAGGGTGTAAATGTTCTGATGGTGTGGGGTATTGAAGCAGTACATCCACGCTAACTATACTGTAGTAATGTACTTTTTACTGTAGTAAGATGTCTATAATGTTATACAGTAGATCATGGACAAAGTACATTGACTTAGAGAAACTGTGTAGTCTTTGTTCGACTTGCTGTGAACAGAGAGACTCTCACCATAGCAACGACAGGACTGGAGGAGAAAAGTAGGTAGTGGACTGATCATTATCGCCAGATACCCCAAGTATACCTCGGTATGGGAATCAGAAGTAACAGAGACCTCACAGAAAATGTAAGACATGAAATTATTTTTTTTTCATGATAAAGTCTTGTTTTCTATTTTCTTCTGAAAGTAAAAGCCTTTGTCACAAACATTAAGCTTTAAAAAAC